AATGCCCACGTACTATTGACTGCAAATTTGAATGCATTTAAGAGCATGCTACTTTACAACTGTGAAAAATGCAGTATGTTTAAAAATTGTTGTTGTTCTTTATGGCTTTCCATAGAATCTCTGCATTGCTTACATTTAATAAAATGTGTAATTATGGGACCAATGCTGATGAATGTGGTTATCATTTGTGTTTTGATGCTGGACGCCTTCTGAAATTGATTAAAAACATATAAATGTTTACTTGGGCAATGATGCATTTTGTAAGCCATTTTTTGTGTTTGCCAAGTGCAGAGGATGCCGAAAAAGCAGCGCATGTTTTTCTTCCTCCACATCTTGCTAAAAAAAATAAATAAAGATGCGAACATTGATGTAACACTTAAATGCAAATCTTGTCAAAAAGAAATAAACACAGTAGATAACAGACTTTGAATAATAAAGTCGTGCAACTCGTACAGAGAATAAAGCACTGCCTGCATGTGTGAGTCCAACACTGATTTGGTTTCTTCTCACTTAAATAAGTTAAACTAAACTAATTGCCTAGGCAGAGCTGTCACATGATGAACTAATCTTCTCCAGTTTCAGCCTCTTGGCAACAGGCTCCTCTGATTTGTGCTGATTCCTAGCTTTGGCAGCATCTGCAGCGACCGTGGTTCCGGACAGGAGATACCCTCCACCTCCACTCATGAGCAGCACTGGATGAGTCCGGTTGGGCAACACCTGAAACAATGATACAGAAGTGATTAAGTCGAAGCCCTCTAGGGGTGGGTGGTATGACCAAAATCTTATTTCACAGCATGAGTCATCTTATATAACAGTAATTATATCACAATGTATCTGTATTTCCTGGAAATACAACAAAAAAGGTTTACACATAACTGTGCCAATGCAAAAAATAAAAAACAGAGCAAATTAAAATAATAAATTTTTACTTTTTGCATTTTGAACTTGATGTACACTAACGTTCAAATGTTTTGTTATTATTATTATTATTTTTTTAAAGGTTTATGCTCACCAAGGCTGCATTTATTGGAACAAAAATACAGTAATATTGTTTTTAATATACAGTAATATATTTTAAAATGTAGTTTATTTGTGTGATACAAAGCTGCTGTGCTGCAATTTTGTGAAAAGAGTCATACATTTTTTCAGGATTAATATAAAGTTCAAAAGAGCAACATTTAATTTAAGAATTTTTTGTAACAGCATAAAAGTCTTGCTGTCTATTTTCATCAAATTAATGCATACTTGATGAATAAAAGTATTAACTTCTAAAAATAAAAATAAAAACTACAGAGTACTTGAATAGTAGTGTAAATAAAAAGAATAACAGCAAATCAAAGTCTGGCATTAGTGCAAAAACACCTTATGAAACACCCCATGTAAAAAAAACAAAAATATAGCACGAACAATAATACATACAACTTTGTGTGTACGGGATGTAGTAAAGAATTACCTGGTAATGCCTGAGCCAGGAATCGGTTAATCTGAGACTGATTGCTCCTCCTTGTTCCCTGAGTTTTGTGTAGCACTCAATCAGCGGCTGTCCAAAAGAGATCAGACGGTAAATATTGCAGAAAGCAGTTATTAAAACACTTGACTTAAAGGGGTCATATGATGCTGCTAAAAAGAACATTATTTTGTGTATTTGGTGTAATGAAATGTGTTTATGCAGTTTAAAGTTAAAAAAACACATTATTTTCCACATACTGTACATTATTGTTAAGAGAAAGGAAAAATTGAAATCACATCATATGACCCCTTTAAATATACAAATCGTTTTAAAGCGATGACACCCCATAATTTATGGTACTTTTTAGGCTTTCTGGGAACTTGACATTACAACAACTGGCATTTTGACATATTGCTAAATAACACGTTTGGATGAACTGCCTCTTTAACAACAAACCAATCCGTTTACCTCTCTGTACTGGCAGTACACTACGAACGGTCGTGATGGTGCTACAAACTTCAGCAGACCCATTAACACAGGACAGGGGTGGAAGCGACTAGCAATCACCAACCTGAAACAAATAAATATTTCAATCAGCCTCCCCATATTAATTAGGTAAATCACTGGAAGACTGCATACAAAACAGCTTAAATCAATACAAAATATTGATTGATTGATTGATTGACTTTATTAATCCCAAAGGGAAATTCACGTCACAGCAAAGCTCATTTTTAGCAAAGCTCTTTTTGCTATGTAACAGAAAGCACTTTTTTTTTGACAACACAAAACATACCCATCCGCATTTCTGCCCTCTAACAGAGCAGCAGCTGAAGCTAACTTCTTCCTCTTCTCCTCCATCTTCACCTTTTTCTCTTGAGCCTGTACGTTTAGAAAGACCAATCAAATATTAATGTAAAACTTTAGAAAAAATCTTAAAAGACGACCTTTTCCACCCTGAGTAGTTAAATTATCCCACAAACAATGTTCAGAAGTGTATATAGAGGCATCTAACAAGAAGTCTGTTTTTGCTTGTTTTGTTTTCTTCACACATCTCCTTTCACACACTTCACCTCAAGCTGCTCTTCTTTTAAACTCCTGTCTCCTTGGAAACCAAGTAGACTTTTAAAAACACTCAAAAGGGCAAAATGTTTTATCATTGTGAAAATGACACCAAAACTGAGGGACAGTTATAATTTGGTTACAGAATAACACATTTTAAAAATATACTTTTTTTTTTTTTAGTTTGTGTTCGTTCAGCTGTTTAAATTATTTTTAAAAATGTATTTATAATTATTTAAATTATATGAATAATTTAAAATGGAAAGTTTTGGGCTTTGATCAAATACAAAGAATTCTAAATAGTCTGTTTTTTTTTAGCTTTTCTTTAAATGGACATATGTTTTTTTTTTTATAATATATAATTATATTTAAAGTTATTTAAGTTGCATTCTTATTTTAAAAAGTAACATTTTGGTCTAGGACCAAAATAGTTTGTGTTTATTTGTTTAAATGAACAATTTTTTTAAAGTTATAATCATTATTTAGAATTACTTAAATTAAATTCATATTTTATAATGATAAGTTTAGGTCTTTGACAAATATAATACATTTTTAAATAGTTTGTGCTTATTTAGCTTTTTGTTTAAATTACCATATAATTTTTTTTTTTTTAAACTAGTGATAATTAATATTTAGAACTATTTCTAAATCATTTAAAAAAGGTTTGGTCTTAGACAACAATAAAAGCAAAAGCAGCAAAGGTAAATGATGAAGGCATGGAAAAAGTTTCCAAGACAGTTAATATAATTTATAAAAAAAATGAATAATGATTCAACCCTTGGGACATAAAGTAGTTCCAGAAACACTCAACCATGATGGGAAATACGCATGTAAAAATCATGTGGAAAAACCTTACCCTCTGTTCTCGCAGTCTTTCTCTCTCCGCTCTCCTCATTTCCTCTTGCGGGTCGACGCTGACCTCCATGCTCTGAGGTTCGGAGTTCTTCTCCTCAGACACACCTGAGGTTTCCTGAGAGGACTCAGATCGTCCGTTCCCGCTGCCAGTGGCCTGAGAGTCTGCATCCTTCTCTGACAGATCCAGGGTTCCCGCCAACAGAGCATTAACTTTGCATAAAGGGAACTCATGCAGCGTCTCGTGGAAGTGTGACGGAAAGCCGAAGCTCTCCATGCCGGCTCTCGTTGGGCCTCCACCGGGATACATCTGAATAACTGAGCCATAACCTGACAAACAGAAACATCTGGATCATCAGTACAGTGTAATAGTGTTTGACTAATACAAGTTTTTGGAAATATGGGTAACCAAACATTTCATTGTCCCCACTGAAAATTTTTTTTTTATACTATGGAAGTCACCAACCGTTTAATTACCCATATTCTCTAAAATATCTTCTCATGTTAAACAGGAGAAAGAAACTCATACAGGTTTGGAGCAACTTGAGGCTGAGTAAATGATGACAGAATTCTCATTTTTGCAAGTGAAGTGTGATCACCTCCCATTCTCTCCATCACCGAGCCCAACACAAGTCCAGCACAGGTCTCAAAAACAATGATTTTACTGCCAGCGTGGATGTTCCCCAGAGTCAAAATCTGAGCCAATGTGTCGTACCGCAGGTGACTAAAACAGAGGAAAAACATTTACAATACAGTATATTTAGACTTTTAAACGTACTAGAACAGTGTTTCCCAAACTAGACAATTTTAAAAATGTAAAATAAATAATTTTAAAGTAAAAACAATCAAAATAAAACACTTTTCCTTTTTGGAAGAAAGATTACATATTTACTTGCATGTGATTTGAACATTAACCAACATCAGAGAGGTGCAGTGTTGTTAATGCTAACTAAAACGTAATTAAACTTAATCAAACCTTTTTTTAATTAAGCTGAAATAATATATAAATGTAAATAAAAATTCTTTTATTTTGGCAACTGACTGAAATAAAAGTTGAAGTAAAAAACATTTACAATACAGTATATTTAGACTTTTAAACGTACTAGAACAGTGTTTCCCAAACTAGAAAATTTAAAAAATGTAAAATAAATAATTTTAAAGTAAAAACAATCAAAATAAAACACTTTTCCTTTTTGGAAGAAAGATTACATATTTACTTGCATGTGATTTGAACATTAACCAACATCAGAGAGGTGCAGTGTTGTTAATGCTAACTAAAACGTAATTAAACTTAATCAAACCTTTTTTTAATTAAGCTGAAATAATATATAAATGTAAATAAAATTTCTTTTATTTTGGCAACTGACTGAAATAAAAGTTGAAGTACTAAAATGACTAAAATAGAAATAAAAATAAATGAAAGCTACAAATAAATATTTAAAAAAGTACTTACAAACTTACTAAAACAAGCAAAAATGAAACCAACAGAATGAAAACAAAATTCAAAATATGAATACATAGTATATACTGTAAATAAATAATAATGTATATAAATAATAATTTAAAAAAAATGGAGAATTCAAATATGTTTAGAACTCGGTAAAATATTAACCTAAAACCTTCAAGTAAATTTTTAGGTCAAAGGGATTCAGATGAAAAAAAACATTTTTGGAAATCCCTTTACTACTATATATATATATTGAGTGTCCTTAAAAGAATACTTCGCTAAATAATAAACCATGTAATTATATCAGGTAACTCATGGGTTCTAAAATGGTATGAGGATGAGTAAATGGTTAAAGTATTCCTTTAGGTTCACATGCCATATTTTCCCTGGTTCTCTGTCGTGGTACATCATGGCAAGGAGTCGAGTGGAGGGCTTCAGGATTGTTATGTCACTCTCGTACCTGTACACATAAAGGCAAAGAACTTATTGACAGTGATATATTCCATGGGATTGACAAAATATGAATTAAAAATGGTTTGAACTCACTTTTTCTTTTTCTTCTTGATGTATTTCTCTTGAGCAAATTCAGTTTTGTCCTTGAATGTTGTACTGTTGTCTATGAGCTGCTGGACAATCTCCTTAAACACACATGAATGGACATGTGAGCAAAATTTACTTGTAACTACATACGAACACCTAAAAACCTTCATGAATAACAGCACAAATTGTTTGGCCTGCTGTCGAATGCTGTTGCTTTTTCTGTACTTTATAATGTCTCCATACAATACAATAAACAATTCTTTTAGAGGGACATAATTTTTCCCCCCAGTATTTCTTCCAAACTTCTTCTATTTTCTTTTCTTTAAGAGAAGCTCATAGTGAAAAGACACTGAACTTACAATATTTGACCAGTGATCAATTAAATAGCAAAAATCCCATAGATTTGCATATTGAAGGAGTGACTTGAGTCAAATTTGGAGACCAGAAAATACAAAATCTTGTTTAGAAATGTTCTGGGTAAAGGGTTAGTTCACCCAAAAATGAAAATTCTGTCATTAATTACTCACCCTCGTGTTGTTCCAAACCCGTAAGACCTTCGTTCATCTTCGGAACACAATTTAAGATATTTTTGATGAAATCTGAGGGCTCTCTGACCCTCCCATAGACAGCAAGGTAACTACCACGTTCAAGGTCCAGAAAAGCACCAAGATGATTGACAAAGTAGTCCGTGTGACATCAGTGGTTCAACTGTAAAGTTACGACTTTAAGTTATGACTTTATTCCACATTTTCGTCTCTACTGCATCACTTTGAATGCGCGTTCATGACAGTACCGAAAATGTGGAATAAAGTCATTATTTTTGTTTTCTTTGGGCAAAAAAGTATTCTCGTAGCTTCGTAACTTTACAGTTGAACCACTGATGTCACACGGAAAAATATCTTAAATTGTGTTCCGAAGATGAACGAAGGTCTTACGGGTTTCAAACAACACGAGGGTGAGTAATTAATGACAGAATTTTCATTTTTGGGTGAACTAACCCTTTAAGATGCATCCCTAGAAGACTTTACTCAGGCACATACCTGGCCTTTTAACCCTTGCTCTTTCAGTGTTTCAATATCATCTCTGGACAGTTTCTGAGATCTGCCATCATCCACTATGTGTCTATTATCCTGGCCTGCTTCCTTAGAATCTGTGACAGGAGAAAAGAGAATTGTAATCTCATCTTGTCACCAAGAAACTCAATAAATGCACAGATAACAGCATAAATCCACAGCATCATTACCCAAAGAGTCTCCTGAGTGTTTTGCTGCCTTAAGTTTGAGTGAACCGCCGGCTTCGATTTCAAACCTGGTCCCGTACAGCTGCCCGACTGCATTGTCCAAGAAGAACCACTGCTTCTCAAAGATCACTTTCCTGAGAGACAGCGTGTCAAATCAAAGCAAATGAGGAGAGCACAGCACACGCACTTAACAGGAGTTAAATGTGAATATTAGACTTCATTTGATGAACTGTCACATTCAACAGATAAGATTATAAATAGTTACTCCTATACATTAATGATAATTCTATACATTTGCCTTTACAAATATACAATGGGCTCTAAAAGTCTAAGACCACTAGTGAAAACGCAATAAAAAGTTTTTTTTTCCTTTCAGAACAATTTTGAGCAAAGATTTGAGTTTACAAATTTACATGAAGTCTTAATATTTGTCACTCCTTCCGTTTGCAGATACAGAAACAGTGCAGAATGCAATACTTCTTGTTCGTTTTACAAATTAATGTTTCTTTAAATCAGATGTTTCAAAGCAATTAAACCTTTTATGTAAGTTACAAGTTTAATTTCGTTTTTAAATCCCGGACTGTTAATGTGGTCTCAGAGTTTAGATCCCACTGTATGCAAAACCTCAAGCCCTTAAAACTGAACTTAGAAGATCACATTTAAATAAAGTTTGATTTGGTTAACTCACTTTTTATTTTCGACCTGCACTGATTTGAAGACATCTCCTCTCTTCAGCACTACATGGTCTCCGTAACTGATTCTGCCCTCTGCATCACTGTCATTTACACACTCCGCCATTTACTGCGATCAGCGTGGATAAAGATCGACCGGAGGATGTTTGGAAACTAGTTTACACTTTAACTAACCCGACTCAAAAGTGGTAATGTCTATGGCTATAAACAGAACAGTAATTTCACACAAACGATGCTTCTTTCCACACGTGTGTTCTGTCACTTCCTGTTCCGAAAGGCCAGTTAATCGAGCGCTGATTTCTAGAGCCACAGCCAGTCAGGAAGACTAGCAAGTCACAGATCAAAGCGATTTTAGTCGGTCTCACATTTACTTAAAGGGGTCATATGATGCGATTAAAATTTTTCCTTTCTCTTTGGAGTATTACAAGCTCTTGGTGCATAAAGAAGATCTGTAAAGTTGCAAAGAGTTATTGAACTTTACATTAGGTTTATACTAACAAAACTGCTACCATGGTTATCAGAACATGTACAATGACCATATCACGGCATTATCACGTGATGTCATTATGTACTTCCACTGTATTTACAAAGGTAAGAAATTGTATATTAAAAAAAAAAACCTTGCTATAGATATATTATGGTTATCGTTACTAACATGAGTATATGTCCAACATAAAAGTGCATATATTGCACGTACTTTATGTATGTATAATATAGTTGTAACTTGTATCCCATTCTGTACTATTATTCAAAACTTAAAGTGCTGATTTATAATTAAAAAATCATATTCAGTGCGTGTTTGACTATAGTGACTACGTAACAGGGTTATTATAGTTAACTAAAACAAACCATGAAGAAATACTTTTCGTTACTTCTTATTTTCATTTAATTTACATTCAAGTACTACAATAAACTAAATAGACTAATGAAACAATAATTATATAAAATAAATGTATAAAAACTATATAGACATATTTTAGAAAGTGATAAAAGTGACAAAACACAACAAAATTAATAAACCTAAGATTTAAAGAAAACAGAAAATATAAAAATAAAATCTAACTATAAAAACTATATTGCACTCCTATATGGTTTGTAGAAACAAATGAAACAGCTAATTATATTTCAAGTATCATAAATTGTCAGTGCTTGATTATGAATTTCAGTCAAATTGGACCTCATAATGAAAGTGATTGGATTTATTTAGACTATTTTCAGATTTTCCAGTCAACATAATGAAAGCAAAATTGCATTAAACGAAATAAAATTTAGTCTTTAAAAGGAACAATTAAACTGCAAATAATTTTTTTCAGAAAACAAGCCAAAAGCACCTAGACATTTTGGTGAAGCATTTAATGTAAATATATTTACACTTGAAAAACTGAACTGTAAAAAGCACTTTGTTAGTACACAACTTCAAAGAATCTTGCAATGGGAAACTAGCAACCCCACCGTATCCCAGATTTATTACACAGATTCATGTATGGAAATGTGTGCTGTAAATTATATACAATGTTCAGATGCAAACAACTCATAAAGACGTCAAGAGTCCAGATCCAAAATATGGATTGAATTGTTTGATTTGTTTACTCTCTTGTGCACAAGCCTTGTGTGTCTTAATACAAACATAAAATGACTTTGGCGAATTTAAAAAACACTATGAATTCGTTCTTGGTTTTCTAAAGGTGAGTGTTGATTTGAGGTCAGTCTTGTCCTCCCGTGAGCTTGTGGAAGAGTTCTTCATCTAAAGTCTCATTTTGGTCTTTTGAGCGCGTCGAAAGGAAAATGTAGCCTCCGATATATTCATGTACCACTTTGCAGTCGCAGCTCTGGCAGGAGAACGCAATCGACACGCTCTGGTCAAACTCGATGGTCACCTGTAAAAGCAATGACACACTCATAAATTATATTCACACCAGCCACAGGTTACAAGGTTGTTTGAAGCACTTTATTCACCTGTTTAATCTCCCAGTTGACATTCCATTGTTTAATGTTGGAGAACCTCCAGGTGGTCACCGGCAAACCCGTTGACATGTCGATGCGGATCAGCCGGTTGTAGGATATTCCCAGCAGCTCGTCTTTCTTGCTTCCTCTGAATCTGTGGGACAAAGTGAAAAGATTTTAATCATATTTCATGGTTGAAGACTTTAAAGGATGTCTCTGAGCAATACCAGGCACAAAAAAAAAAAACAGTGTTGTTCAGCAAAATTGTCTGACAAAATGACAATTTTATGTCTAATTAATGAAAACTCATACTCAACGTGTTTGAATTATTCTGTAACTATATATTTTGTAAAAACATTTGTGAATTATCTGTATATTCCATTTCAAGCATTCTAAACTGTCAGCAGTTGATTATGAAATTGACAAAAAAGCCAAAATTGGACTGTATTTATGTAACTAAATGACATTAAATAGGAAAAAATTAACCTTCAAATGGAACAACGGCATGCTATTAAATCTCATTTTTTAATTTATCTTTCATTTTTAATTTTATTTTTATTTTGATGATGTGTTTAATGCAAACAAATTTAACATATGAAAAATTGAATAATATATATCAGACTTGGAAAGATGTTTCTGAGTGATACAAGGCACAAATCAATCTGTTGTTCAGCAAAACTGTGACAATATTTTGTGACAATTTTGTGTCTAATTTATAAAAAAATAGAAAAAGAAAATTGTCAGTGCATGAGTATGAAATTGGCAAAAAGCCAAAATTTGACTCATAATGAAAGTGACAGTATTCATGTAGGCTATTTTTAGATTTTTCAGTCAAAATACCCAATAAAAACAAAATGACATTAAATAGAAAAACATTTCAACTTTAAATGGAACAGCAGCACTATTAACCCTTGTGCAGTGATTAAAATATGTAAACTAATTTGGTGTTCATAGTCAGAAATGACCAGCCTTTAAAAAATCTGTGAAAAAGAAAATCCTCTCTGGGTCAAAACGACCAGAACACAACATGAGAGTTTAATCTTAGTTTTTGAAAAATGTAACTATAAAAAGTACTTTAGACTTTTAAACTTATGTATGTATCCACATTTGAAAAATGTAACTATAAAAAGTACTTTAGATTTTTAAACTTATGTATGTATCCACATTTGAAAAATGTAACTATAAAAAGTACTTTGTTAGTGCACAGCTTCAAAAAAACTCATATTTCATGGTTGGTCTCAAAAACCTTACTCGGGCTTAAATATCTGTTCTAGGCACAAAATCATTCTGTTGTTCAGTACAATTACCTGACAATGTAGTACTTGATGCCAAACTCAGGCAGGGACTGCCATGCTTGGATAAAACGCATTTTGGCCTCCATGAGGGAAAGCTGGGAAATATTGTGAAGGGCCTCCAAGATTCGTGTGGTCAGCTGAAATAAGAATAAATATGATTTTTTTAAATGAAGCAAAACAGATCTCAGATATCCAGTGCTGTCATGGCCTAATAAAAATGAGCGGTTCAAGCCATATCTTGTCTTTTCTGCGTGTGTCCAGACTGTATTTTCACCTGTTTGGTCTTGTACTTCTTTGCATATCGTGGAGAAACAAAGCACTCGGCATTCATCTCCATTGACTCTACGTCAGGTGCTGCCTGGCCAGGAGGAGGCGCTAGACTCTTCATCTGCAGGAAAGACTGGATGTTCTTCACCTCGGTGCGGTACGAGCTGTAGGCCATCGTCTTTCCTTTGGAAGCCAAAATACAGGCAGCTTTCCACTTGGCATATTGCGTTTCCTGTTTTCAGGAGACGTTTGTTTTAAGCAAAAGAAACAAATAAATGCATACATTTTTTTTTTCAAACTCAAATTTATTTAGAGGTCCAATCTGAGCAAAAATATGCAATATGGTTCAGATGCTGATATTTATCTAAATTTTTATACCAGCATAACAGACTACTTGCATTAGATGCATATAAAAATCAGTAACTCTATATCTCCCAATAGTATGTCTTAACAATATTACATTTAAAAGCTAGTTTTATTATCAAAACCCTTCGGTTTTAATTGTGGGGTGCAAAACATATAATGCAATGATGATTGACAGATCATTGACAAATAAACCTGACAAATCATATTTGATATTTTACCATTATTTTCTAAAAAAGACTATGGATAATCAAGTAACCTAAGTTTCTTTATTCATCTTGAAATATGTATAACAATACAACAGTTTATCTTACATTTAAGATGAAAGATTTCACAGCAAAAGCACACGTGTACCACAATCTGCATAAAAACAAATATAAAACTCACATTGTCGCAGCGAACATAAACCTCGTTCATTCCATCAGCCGCTGGCAATAACAACTTGAGGCCAAACTTCTTCTCAGTGACGTTGACATCAGGAATGACCTCACATCCTGTACAATTAATGATGTATTACCACTGATGCATTGGCTGTATTAAAAGGAATAATCTTTTCTCTGATTGGCCGCTCACCTCGTAGATGGAGTTGCTCAATGGGTTCTTTATTCGCCGACTCTTTGCTTTTGTAATAAGAAATGGTGGTGTCCCTAAAAACAAACCAGTACTCCTTATATGGCTTTAATGTTAATCGCTTGGGCCTGTAAAGCAAAGAAATGAACAGGCAATTAATAAATGCACTGTTTGTCTTACTGCAGACTAGACACAAATGTCACTGAACACGACAGGAAAAAAGTTGCAAAAAGTACTGTTTTGTACATGGAACTATAGTTAATTTGCATCATTAAAAAAAAAAAACCTGTGACAATTTAAAAATGTATTTTTCTTGAACAATTTTTAATAAGCTTAAACTCACCTAAACAATTTAAGTGTATCTTCCAGCTTTGGAATGTCAGTGATATCTTCCTGAAAAAGTTAAAGAAAACGTGAATACTCATACACTACCATTCAACAGTTTGGGGTTGGCAAGACTTTTATGTCTCTTATTAAAAATGTAATTTATTTCTGTGATGCAAAGCTGAATTCTCAGCATCATTACTCCAGTCTTCAGTGTCACACAGTGGTGTATAAAGTACCTGAAAGCCATACTCAAGTAAAAGTACAGATATCTTACCAGAAAATGACTTTGGTAGAAGTTGAAGTCACCGTTTAGAATATTACTAGAGTAAAAGTCTTAAAGTATGTGATATTTATTGTACTTAAGAGCGAAAAGTATTTCTTAAATCTTAAACGTACTTAAGTATTGAAAGTAAAAGTACAAGTAAATGCAAAATGGAAAAGAAGCAAATAAATATATATAAAAAATATAATAAATATATATAAAATGTTCATACACAGCTTGAGTAGCAAGATTGTGTTCAGTTTTAACTCTTTCTTCCATTTTGTATTTTTGGGTAAGAATAAGAAGCACTTCATCCGGTACTTAAGTGTCTTTCATTCCAACATAAGAAAACATTTCTGGAATCTGCATCTGAAATAGCATTTAGATGTATTTACACAGTTATGTATCTCAGAGGTTGGCAAGACTTTTATGTCTCTTATTAAAAATGTAATTTATTTCTGTGATGCAAAGCTGAATTCTCAGCATCATTACTCCAGTCTTCAGTGTCACACAGTGGTGTATAAAGTACCTGAAAGCCATACTCAAGTAAAAGTACAGATATCTTACCAGAAAATGACTTTGGTAGAAGTTGAAGTCACCGTTTAGAATATTACTAGAGTAAAAGTCTTAAAGTATGTGATATTTATTGTACTTAAGAGCGAAAAGTATTTCTTAAATCTTAAACGTACTTAAGTATTGAAAGTAAAAGTACAAGTAAATTCATGCTGATATTTGCCGAAAAATGGTAGGCTACTCTTTGTGTGATACATATTAAGTTAACTATATTAAATTATATAAACATAAAAAAAGCATACAGAAGTATTTTTGCATTTACAATTTAGAATGCCTTGAATTTTGAGTTTTAATAGACTAATAAATCACGTGCGTGCACTCTCTGTGATATACTTGATCATGTCAGATCGCACATCATTACGACCCTTACCATATTATCGCAGACGATGCTGTATCGCACGCCCCAGACTCGACTTGAGTGGAAAATGAATCATCCGCGTTTTTTTGCACATGAGCAAAGGTGTTTTTAGGAGTCTAACTTGCAAACGCCAGACCACTGATTCGTCAAACCTGCTTTCCTGCAGTCCGTGTTCTTCTGACTTCTGACTATTTTGTAGTAAGTAACGAATATGCTTCGGGGAAATGTATCGGAGTAAAAGTATACATTAAAAGTAAAAGTTGTCTGAAATATAAAAACTCAAGTAAAGTACAGATACTCCCAAAAAATACTTAAGTACTGTAACGAATAATCTGATAATTTTGATTATTTGATGAATTAAAAGTTTAAAAAACAGCATTTATTTGAAACAGAAATATTTTGTTATATTATAAATGTCTCTACTGTCACTTTTGATCAATATAATGTGTTCTTCTTAATGAATAAAAGTAATAATTTCTTTTTTAAAAATCGTACTAACCACAAACCTTTTAACGTTAGGGTCTAAACTAGCTTAATTTTCAGCCAGATTGATTCCAGATACAATAAACCGGATGCTACAAATTAATCTAAAATCAGTCTCTATATGTAGTTGTTACTTTTGACACTGATGCGTCCCAAAAACAGGCTGGATATTCATTTAATGTAAGTACCAATATATTTATAAAAAAATCTATTCATAATATCATAAAATCACTGATACCAGGATCTTATCAGCATTCCGTCCTTCCAGCGTGGATTCTAAGTTTGAAAGCGCAGCCTCGACTTCATCAATCTCTGGTTCATTGGAATTGGTCAGTGGCTCCGTTGATAAAGTCAATTTACAGATGTGATACTAGAAAAGATTCAAGTATTTTACATCTGAAACACCAATTTAGATGCATAACAATAAACAGCACCCATAACTCGTTTGATTAGCCAATAACTGTGATTAAGACATTGACAAAGTACACATTTTACATTTAAATTTTAATTTATGGTTAAAAAAAGTGGAGAATTAACATGGTGCTCATTAAATAACTAATCAAGCAGATAACTAACTTTATTATATGCTAACCTCACCCATTGTGGTTTTCAATGCAGTTACATTAACACCGCTTGAGGCAGGAGTTTGAATTAATGATATAAGCAGCAAATAATGTGGAAAACAGGTGGGGAAAAAATCCCTAAAATATTTGTGCAATGCATAATTCGGTCATCTGAGAGGCAGTTTGTGAAATACTTGATCTGCTCTCTCATGGATTGTTTTTTTTGTTACAGATCTACAGACACACTCTCGCATGAAGTCCTCACTAGGTTTGGTTGGGATTATGAGCACCATGTTCACGTATACATTATCTCCTTGTGTAATTGAATGCTATGTTGTGTTAGCTGTGGAATGTCACATCCTTTGTCCTCAAAGTAATTTATCTCATAGCTTCAGGTGAGAAAGTACGGCACTAAAGAGTTGACCATAATTCAACACCATCTATGCTATGTGCTGCAACTAAATACTACGACACATTAAAGCATACCTGTCAGGTGAGCTAATCAGGGTTACAGTTAACTAAAAATGAATGCATTTTTACAAATATTTTATTTCAGCTAACTGCCAAGGCAACATTTCTTATTTTCATTTAGTTACTTGATGTACTAAAGTAAGTCAAACTAAAACTGAGGGGAAAAAAAGATTAAAAACTATACAGAAAAGCAACAAAAAACTATTAACTAAGTAAAATCAAAATAGAAAATATTGTAAAAAGCAGTTCAAATTATTAATAAAACTATTGTAGTATCTCAAAATAACACTGGAGCCAATGACTAACCTTTCTTGCTTTCTGGAGCTCTGAATTCAACGAATGAGCATAAAAGCATGGAATAAGATCAGTTTATGTTGTGAACTGGCATCCTGTACCTGCAGGGATGCAAACATGAGCATCTCTTCTTCAGTGCACTCGATCTCCTCCAGCAGTATCGCCCATCTGGCCTGTTCATACAACTGCGTGATTCTCACAGCATCATACTACAAGAAAAAAAACCAAATGCATTCTAATTTAGACATATCAGGGCCATCTAATATTGTCGTCTACAAACATATAATGTGGTATGTAGGAATAGTTCATTTCTCACCTTTGGGTTGAGGTCAAAGAAGCAGTGGTACTTGAACCGCAGCAGGAGTCTGTCGTTTTCCTGAATTCCTTGCTCCATCAGCGAGCGAGAGGAATCCAGCCACCTGCAGAGCAACGTCTCAGTTAAAATACACAAACGCAGTGACCGAAACGCAACTGATAAATAAAAACAGAAATACACATAACCAATAAGCCATCAAATGCTATGCTACAATGATTTTATCATAATAAATGGATGTTCTGGGGAATGAGGTGAAATATAGCTTGTATAAAACAGCAGAAATAGCAATACGCTAAAACACTTCTTTAATAAATTAAATATAATATATACTCTCAAAAAAGGTATGAAGCTGTCACTGGGGCTGTACCCTAAAGTACAGAAGTTAAAGGTTACATCTTTGTAACTTATTTATCCCTAAAAGGTACATTTTAGTACTTTAAAAGTACATATTAGTTACCAGTGTTGGGGGTAACGCATTACAAGTAACGCGAGTTACGTAATCAGATTACTTTTTTCAAGTAACTAGTAAAGTAATGCATTACTTTTTTAATTTACAAGAAAATATCTGAGTTACTTTTTCAAAAAAGTAACGCCAGTTACTTTGTTTTCCCATTTATTTACTGACAAGTCTCCTGTCCCCATATTGGGAGAAATCGGAAGTGCAGAGGAATTGTGTGCGCTGTGTGAACATGATGTTACTGTAGTTCTAGACTAAATGTGAATGTGCAGTAATTCATCCCACTCACAAAAAACAGATTTAGTATTCATCAAAATGAATTAAAACAGTGAAATGCAAACTCAGAATATGACAAAAACCTGCAATAATTAAATATGTTAAATAACACAAATGTATCTAATCCCATTTTATTAACCAATATCTTTGCTGTTGACCTTTGATGATCCAGTTCAACCGTACTAATAAGCAAAAATGACTTTAGAGAAACTAACAATTGTGCTTTGTTTTTTTATTGCTGAAGAGTGTTTCTTCTCCTGCGTTCTACTGTACAGACGTGAATTTACTTTTGCTTCAGCCTGAGGTTTATTCATTACACTTTTTGGTGTGAAAGGGCTTTTACATTTGCTATAAATAGAACTTCTTATATTAAAAACAATCAAGCCCTGCTCATATTTAAAAAGTACCGCAAAAGTAACGCAAAAGTAATGTAACGCATTACTTTCCATAAAAAGTAACTAAGTAACGTAATTAGTTACTTTTTTAGGGAGTAATGCAATATTGTAATGCATTACTTTTAAAAGTAACTTTCCCCAACACTGTTAGTTACCATTTAAATGGACAATGCCCCAGTGACTGCTTCGTACCTTTTTCTCTGAGTGTGCATTTAAAAATCGTAACATAGTCTGTTAGCTTATCTATGTCAACAATGTAACAATCAGAGGTGCAACAATGCAAATGGTGCAGCTGGTCACAGGTGTGTGGCTATTGTAACAACTTTAAATGGTTTCGAATGAATGTCCAATCAGATTTTAGAAACAAATCAGTGTTATAAACTTAACCATGAATATAAGGTCTATTAAAACGATCATACACTACAATTCAAAAGTTGAAAGAAATTGTCACTTTCATGCATCTTTGGTGAATTAAAGCATTATTTATAATGTTACAAAATATTTCTATTTCAAATAAATGCTTTCTATTCATCAAATAATGTTTCTTGAGCAGCTAATCAGCATATTAGAATGATTTCTGAAGGATCATGTGACACTGAAGACTGGAGTAATGATGCTGAAAAATCACAGGAATAAATTACATTTTAAAATATATTTGAATAAATCGCGTTTGGTCTCGTACTGTATCGCGTACCTTGTCAGTGTCGTTCGCTTTGCTTGGCCATTTGTTGTGATAAACAGGAAAGTGTGTTCAAGCGCCAGCAAAACAGTGTAAAGAAATACTCTTTGTGAGAAGCAGTCAATCAGCAGAAGTTAAAAGCAGCTTGTAAGTGTATTTATTTCTTGTCTCAGTGTTTAGCACAGTTGTCATTGCTAGGAAACGCTTGTTTTGTTTACTGTGGAGACATGCTGAAATGGCGTTTGGTCTCGTACTGTATCGCGTACCTTGTCAGTGTCATGCGCTTTGCTTGGCCATTTGTTGTGATAAACAGAAAAGTGTGTTCAAGCGCCAGCAAAACAGTGTAAAGAAATACTCTTTGTGAGAAGCAGTCAATCAGCAGAAGTTAAAAGCAGCTTGTAAGTGTATTTATTTCTTGTCTCAGTGTTTAGCGCAGTTGTCGTTGCTAGGAAACGCTTGTTTTGTTTACTGTGTGGAGACGCTCTGCACCCATTTACCTAAATTCATTACTTCAGAGTTATGTGCCCTCTAGAAGCTTGTGTTCTGCAAGTGAACGGCGTATTATTGTGCCATCTCAAAGAGGCACAAAATCACTTTCACAGACTTATATATATATATACACACACACCTTGCTACGTGTACTGTGTTAGGCTAACCGAGACTTGTCATTTGCACTTATATATTGTTGCTCTTTTGTTAGTTTTGACTGCTTTTATTGTCCTCATTTGTAAGTCGCTTTGGATAAAAGCGTCTGCTAAATGACTAAATGTAAATGTAAATGAATAAAATACTGTTATTTTAAATTGTAATAATTTTTCACATTTTTACTGTTTTTACTGTATTTTTATGGTCAAATAAATGCAGCGTAGGTGAGTTTAAGAGACTTCTTTCGAAAAACTCTTGCCGACCCCAAACTTTAGAATGCTAGTCTAAATTTGTCTGCCCTTTCTTACCCAGCATTAATTGCCGCTTTATCCTCCATGGTAAGAGGCTTGAAGAGTTTGGCCAGTTCCTCCGGTGGAAGGTTGGGTTGGCAGGCCGTCAGAGGATTCTCGCCGAACCACAGACTGGTGGAAGATGCAGGCGACCCGCTATCCGGGTCATAAGTCGGAGTCATAGTTTTACTGTACAGACCCAGGGCTCCTGTACAAAGCATGAATGCAAACTTATAAATTGGTGTTTAAGACTTACAAGCTTATCCAAACACAGTTGCTTCTAACAAAACAGTTTATTATATGAAGAGATTAAGACATGTAAAAAACGTAAAATTCATTCATCATTTTTACATTTTATTTTATATTAACTTCTAAATGAAAAAATAATGCATGGTAAATACGGTAAGAGGACATCACAATTCCATATAAACCTTGATGATTCCTCTTTTACTCACATTTTCTTCATCCTTCCGCAGTGATCTGACTCACTCCTGTAATTACCAACTAAAGAAATCCTGGGCTGTCTGTACTGTAATGCACCTATTAAAATGACTATAAACACATTGTGTTCAACCAAATTAATGAATGGCCACTGCCAATAAAAGACCTTCATGGCAAACCATAATATTTAGCAACTGGGTCATCTGATGAGTCTGTAGAGGAAAGCAGGATGTTTTGCTAGCGTCTCTCTCTCTGGCTGACACAATCACACAGTGAACTTCAGACCCTGCGCCTGCAAACACCTGAGTCAAAGAACAATAGCTCGGAGCACGAGGCTATACAAAGATATGCAAGGCAAACATGGACGTACCTGTACCTGAGCATTTCAACCAGTGTTTACACTCTGCACTGGGATTTTAGCTTTTACTCAGCAAACAAATTCTAAGAATGTTAATCTAATGTTTTCATTCAGTTCTGAAAATGCTAGGTCTCTAAACATTCAGAATATTTCGTTTTTTTCTAATGTTTTCTTGGTTATAAAATGAAGGGAACATGATCAGTTTGCAAACATTATCGGAACTACTTAATTTTGTTCTCTGAACGTTCTGAATAAGTAGTAACATTTAAAAAACTAAAATGTTTCCGAAGAAAAACATTCCATGAACAATGTATAAATAATGTATTTGTGCTAACATTTTGAGAGCATTATTAAAGATCAGATAACTAACAAATGTGCTATTAACATTACTGAATAAAAGTTTATTTATAACTTCGAGAGAACCTTGCCAGAATGTTAGCCAAAGTTCTGAGAATGTTTTCTGTTATTTGGGTCAATTTTGTTGTTGTTGTTTTAAACATGGGTTTCCCATAAACTCTGACTGCTTTTTTTTTTTAAATTCAACCTATTTCAACCTTACAAAACCTTACTTTGAAGAGCTTTTTATGTGTTCCTTCCTGATAATGCTGTGCTTTTCATAATTGTACTAGAAACCCCTTTTAATTTAAATTCCTGAATTTGTTTTCAAGCAGAAAACAAGAATTTGCAAAAGAATTGCAATTAAAAATCAAATGAAATGTATAGAAATTGAATGCTGCAAATTACCAATAAATGTTTTTATACACACAACATATGAAGTATTTTTACTTTAATTTAATGTCCAATTCTCACTATTAACAAATCATTAATTATGTGATACATAAACTTTTTATTACCATATTTATATTATAAAATTATCTGTAAGCTAGAAAATATATCACTTCGATACAATTTTCACTTAGAATTTGCTAGTAAATTTTAGAAATAATTACAAAGAAATGGCAAGTAACACTTTGAAGTGATTGTGAAATTTTTAAGTAGATAAACTTAAACAGTATTTTCTCGTAAAACATACTCCAATAATCTTTGTTTCATTCACAACTTTGAGAAATCTTTTTTTTTTTTTCAAAGTGTATGGCAAAATTTCATGCATCAAAACAAAATGTCACTTGTTTTGATAGTACTGAACTGAAGTTAAAAGAAATGCCTGCATCAGTTGAGAAAAATGTATTGTATGTATAACAAAATAATAAAAATTAATAACATGAACAAATGCATTTTTTGTCACAAAACTGTAAATAAAACTGCTCTGACGTGTGACTAACTTACAATTGAGCAAATTCCACTTGCGGTCATTCCCATTCACAATTCAACATCCCTTGTGCCAATTCAAATTCACATGAAATGAAAGGGAGCTGATTCACGATCTGTACTGGTTCTTCAACACAGAACTCTGTAAATTACTCACTGATCTTCTCCACCAGTTTGAGCATGAGACCCCCGATGTGAAGATCCCCCTTGACCCGCAATTTAAACTTCATGCCCTCATCTCCCTCACGCTGGTCCACCTGGATGCTGAGCTCCCAGGAGTTGTGTCCGTGCTCAGCAGCAGTGGCCATGTTCCTGCCTGAAACCAAATCACAGACAAACACAAACAGTTATTTTAGTTGCATAAAGTCACTATGATAATACTGTGTCCTAAGAACTAGTCCGACCAACTAGTGGTTATTCAAGGTGTAAAATAAATCTTCAGATATATGTTTTTACGTAACTGACTTGAAAAAGTTATGTCCGGTCTTAAAGAAAAAAAAAATCAGATCATTTACTTGTAAGACTAGTTAAAGCATTTTATACAACAGGTCCAGGCTGCACTTGCATCATAGTCTTACTAAAAGTTATTTACTGGCACCCATGGAACCTTTTCAATGCTCAAAAGATACTTCATAGTGGAAAACCTGCGGCAAAAGTATAAAATTAGCCTAATTCCACGGGAAACCCAAGGATTTGGCAACACTGTGAGCAGGTACGAAATTCCACGGAAAAAGTGGATACCTTTACGGCAGAAACAAATGCACATGTGCAGCTGCTGTAGGGGACTCCAAAGTAAAAAAAAAATTGTTCTGCTATCTTTTTAAAATCATAATTAGCACTTTGTTGAATGGCTTCTGTGATTTGGAATATGAGCGCCTGCGGCTTTGATTGTGCTTTTTTTTTTTGGACCCCTGGTCACTGCACACACTTGATGACAGAAGTTTATTTTTTGTATAAACCATTCCTTTCAAAGTCTCTAATGACAACATCTCCTTAAGGGAGTGACAGACAGAGAATTAAGGTATAGTGTGGAGGAGGCTTGTGATTACAGAACAAGGGAGACTTCAGCTTAAAATTCCTGACAAGCAGAGACAAGACCAGAGGCAGAAAGAGCAGAAACAACAGAGCGACTCACACAGACCCCTTATCCTGCTGTCTGCTGGCTTGTACATCAATAAACAACAAAGCCCAGGTCTTACACAGTCAAGTTCTGCTGTGTAAACTAAAGAGGGTCTAAAAGAGTCTTATAGTGTGACTTAAGATTTGAAAGTATTGGTGTTTTTTTTTTTTTTTACAGATGCATTTGAGTCCACAATATTATTATTTTTAAAATCAGGTCTGTCCACGTTCACTAAGAAGTGCGGGGAGGGCGAGATGTTTGACTAGATTAGAGATAGATAACACACATGCTCTGAACTAACAAGACAAACTATTTATGCAGCCCAAGGCTAAACCTGGTACGCGAGTAGGTTAACACGACCGCAGGCCTAGAAAAAAGAATTTACACCTCCCTAGTGTAAACAAGAAGGACATCTCTTAAGATGAATTCATCAGCTCATGATTGCATTTGAAGATCATATGCAAAAAATTAAATGAGGAATAAAACGGAGCATTTTTCTTATATGCACCATACTTAAGAGGGCCAAGAAAATAACC